GGCGAGCGCCGTGTTTACACAAAGGATGATCCGTGACTGCTTCCATCCAACAGTCATCTGGGGCAGACCCGAGTCGGTCAACATTGGCAAATCCATGACAAACGCCCAAATCTCCAATTAGAACGACTACACAATGAACATGGAAATGACTTCATGAACCCACGCATCAGCCTCGGTCAACAATTATACATAGCGCGCTATCGGATATCTACAGTCAAACGTAGAACACGTCCCTGGTCCCATTCTGTCGCTTCTAATAGCCACCTGAGAAGCAATCAACAAAGTTCCCTCAGGCACAGGACAATAAGGGGTTAAGTTTAGCCACAGCTGGCAGAGCCCACGTCTAACAGTCAACAACGTTCAGCGGCGGTCGTTTCGGTGTCTCGCCGTGTCGGGCAAGTTCTCCAGGACCCAGTCGATGAGAGCGAACAGCTGCACTCGGCAATGCACGGCTTAGGGCACGTTCTGGAATTCAGACACTCCGGGTCGGATCACCGCTGGAGTCGTCACTCCCGTTAGCGGCTGTGACGCGGACCGGGGCGTCACGACCCGGAGGGCGGTGCCACGCGACCCGTCACGGCCCGTTACTGCCGTCACGGCGTCAACAGTGGCGCGTCACTTGCCGTCACAGAGGCTGGTGCCCCGTCCGCCCGACCGAATATGTAGATACTGACCGCCGACCGGACAGCCTGAGGGTCGCGTGACAAGGCGATGATAGGACCCATAAATACATTAATTTGTGAACGTAAATAAGCGTTCATATATTCTAGCTATTTGGCAGCAGCACGCACCTGCGCAACTAACACAGGTTGACGGTCAAAACGGCAAAGCGGTGCGTGCATTTCACATACCACACTTCTTTCAGACCAGTAAATTCTCCTATTTTACAGCATTCGTGCCACACCGCCTCAGTGACGGCCCAGGCGCTGACGATGCCTGACATTGACGGCAGATTACACAACGCACATGTGGCAAAAATTAAGGCTAAGGTCATACAAAAAAGAAATAATCTGGTACCGGGATGGTGGCGAATCTCATTCATGCGCATTATTTAAGATATATCAGATCTCCCGCCTTTATAAAGCCGCAGCTGCTCGCAGGCCTACGCTGAGGAGATACAGGATGCAGCGGTGCCAGCCGGCGACATCTGCCGCAGCCCCCGGTCCTATCGGAACTGCGTCACCCTCCGAGAACAAAAACACGTGATCCAATCCATATGGCGCTGAGAGAAATAATCGGCGAATCATTAGCTGAAACAGCATAACAGGCCAGATTATGATGGTAAAATTAAACCTGAAGCGTACAAAAACTAATGGTGCCAATTTAAGTGCGATGTTTCTCAAGAGCGGCGCAGTTCGCAGCGACGCCTTTCTAGAACCATTCATCGCTCCACAACGCGACGGCGATTTTCGAGACACTTGTGCATTCATCCGGGACACATAAACCATGTCTCATGGAGCCGCCCTAAGTCCGTAAACCAATCAGCTGCTCGCCATACGTCATGCCGCCAATGACTTCGAAACGACACGCCAGCTAAAACACGGCCCCGCCGGCCATCTATTTCCAGACCACCTCATAGCTGCTGTCCCGCTGCCAATATTGCAAACCACACTGCGCATTATGACATTCCGTGGGCGGGCGCCACGATGTGACGCCATGACGAGACAGTGACGTCACGGAGCCTGTGACGTCACTAGGTGGGGGAGCGGGGTACTGCTGAGTCGGCCCGGTCCAAACGGGGTCCAGCAGACGCCGACTCAGCCACTCGCCCGCAAGGGAAGTCGGGTAGGGGCGTCAGTTAGGTGTGGAATGTGGCATACTGGGTGCATCACTCGACCGGAACCCGGACAAACAAGTGCACCAGTTAAGTTAGGACTCAGCAAAGCTGAGAAGTGAGAGGTCATCGTACCGGCGTCAAGTTTGTAGGCCTTGACATTTGATGATGAAATCTTGGGCCGTAGCTACCCAAACAAGGCACATGCTATTGTGGTACCGCATGGTGCACATATCCCAGGCGTGTGCCACTAAACCAAACTCATTGCTAGCGCCATGTTACATCTCATCGGTACCCCACAATACCTCAATCGTTTCCGTCAGTCGCAGAGCATCACCTTGGTCACCCAGTCTCGACGCCGACCGGAATTCCATGACGCCAGCAGCACCTGCCGCGGGGACCGTGACAGCAGGTAGGAACCGACCGCCGGCTGACCGCCGACCGGCGAGCCGCCCTGACCCAGTTCAGAGAGCGGATGGCTGACGCCGAGACTGCCGGCGTAACCTCGCGCACGGCCGGCGGACGGGAAGTGCGGTCGGACAGGGTCGGCTGGCCCGGGGTGAGCCTGGCTGGGGTGGGATGGGGAAGGGGAAAGGAGTTTGGGGTGAGATCACATGGGTTAGGTGAGATGGGGCGAAATGAGTAAGTTGAAGTGAGTGTGTGGTGAAGGAAGGAAGGTAAGGTGGGTTGAGGGCAGGACACATTCACCACCACCTCTATATCCAACGCTATCATCTACTCCCACCAGTCCCACCATCTCTTCAATACACGACCAGCTACACTGGGCGTCGACAACGGCGTCGAGCTCCGGACCCCCACCGAGCGTGACACCCTACCATCATCGGGGCCGAGCTCCCGAGCGCGAAGCCCCAGACAGCGGCAGTCGGTCGGCCGTGTCTGTTCCGGCAGCTGACGGGGCTGCAGGCCGACCTGACAGGTCTACACGTCTACAGGCAGTCCAAGTCAATCACACCGAGCAGGTGGGTCGGTCTGGCCCACTTGGCGCTCCTACCCAGCCGATCCCCCCGGTTGGGAGAAAAGCAGACTTCTGCAACCGTTACCTGCCTCGGACGAAGCGTTTGACGGGTGGCCTCATTCATTACGAATTTGCCTTTCATTGCGTCGACGTCATTTTTTATGTACCGTTTGCGAGCAAGAAACAATATCGAATTCATTTAATTTGGCCGCTGCTCACTAGCAGCGCAACATTATTCCCGTCTCAGAGATGCCGCAACCGCCGCCGCCGCCAAGCGGGAAGTCTCATCCTTCCGGCGGAAGTGGCTGCCAGCGCGTCAGCTCCGGCGCGGACGCTGCGCCATCCGCCGCCGACGGCGCGTGGAGTGCGTCACAACGGTGCTGGCCGCGCCACAATCGGCAACAGCGGAGACACCGGCGCGTCGGCAGCCGGCGGCCGAGCTATCCTGGTCTCATCAGACGGTGCGCCGTGCCAAATGGTGGGGCTGAGATGGAGGAAGGGTGACCGCGAGTCAACGTGGACACGACAGGCAAAAGATACTTCGTCCGCGCGTCTCTGCGGCCGACCGTTCCTCTTCTCACCACCAGCATCCAATACATTGTCCGCCAGTGCCGCCCACGCTCTCCCACCACGGGACATGGCCTGGGCACGGCACGCCGGCCGCTGCGGCTCGCCCCAGCCGCGGACAGACCGCAGTCAAACCACAGCCGTCGGCAGCGTGTGATCAGTGACCCGCGCCGCCCGGAATGTCGGCTGGCCACCCCAGGGTCAGGTGGCGGTCCCAGCGACCAGGGCCGCCGCCAGCGCAGCGCCAGCCGAGATTACTTTACTAATAGCTCCGAACGCCGGTCCATGTGGCCAAGAGGTGCCCCAGGAATGGCGACCTGAATCGAATGGCAATCACCAGCGCAGCTCCAGTTGCCAGTCCACGCGGCGGAGGTGCCCCAGGGTCACTGCCAGGGCAGTAGCTCCAATTGCCAATCCGATCCAAAGGTGCTCCAGGAGCGACGACCACGGTCAGATGGCGACCGCCAGGACAGCTCGAGTTCTCGGCTCAGGATAGCACGTGTTGATGAGGCGACCTGCACGTGCCACAAGGGGGTGCGTGTTGAGCTCTTATGCTGGGGTTACGTCCGAGAAGTGTGGGGGATGAAAGGTGCCACAGTAATTCAAATTTAAATGAACAATAATTTGAAAAACACAGAACTCATTTTCCAAGGACTGCAATTCATCAGCTCGTATGACTTTCTCGGAGTAACTACTTGCTTTGCCTTAAAACACATGATCGACTGTCGTCAGATCTGTTGGACATCATAACATATCGCCTGAACGCTATTCGATACCGAATGTCCCAAACAATCCTCGCGAAGGTAAACCGATACGACAGCCTTGTTTCCTAGGAAAACATCATCCTGAAAACACTCAAACCGAGCAGGCCATTCAAACGACGAGGCGCCTGCCAATCAATCCAAAACATGTTCACACTCAACAGTAGATAAAAGACCCGATCCTGGAAACTTTACGGGTCGTTATCTGTCCGATCGTCGCTAATTTAGGCGTCAATCTGATAATGACATGACCCAGACATGCCATGGCCACGGATGTGTATATCGAATCGTGCTCTGAGTGGGGAGTCGAGCTCGGCTGTTAGCACGGACGAGATAACGCCGCACCGACCGGACGCAATTCAGCCTCCTTATCAGCGCTGCGCAGATCAACATGCCCAGATTTACAGTGAACAAATCAGCCCTGGCCGGGCCGGCACCGGGTCCCCGATCGTCCCACACAGGCCGGGTCAGAGGCAGGGATCAGCCGGCCAGCGGTCCCGCAGTGCAGGCAAATTGACAGTCGTGCCCGATCGGCGCCGAACGCGACTGACGGAGACCACGCACGCGACCAGGCCGAACAATTCGGCACGCCAGCTGAATGTAACATTGGAATAGACTTCAACATATCGCCTCGTGGCTCGTTCGATTGCAGGGCTGTCGTTTTATTACCAGAAATTTAACTTCAATATTTCACGTTCAGACTCGAGAACGAAGTCGAGTCGAAGTCGGAGTATAACATTATTACCAAACGGATTTAAAAGTAATTTATTTGGATCGCAGGCGCAATCTCCAGTCGCGATATGCCGTGGATGTCGAACGTTCATCAAGCACCCCAATACAAATGCACATTTTACTGACCGCACCCTCCGAGCGGCGACTGACTGTAACACCGGTTCATGGAGGCTCGGAGCTCGGTACTCACCAGGTACCACATGCGTGGCCAGCTGGGGTCGTTGAGGTACGTGGACCGGTAGATGGGGGCACGCTGGTGCCGGCCGTCGCGCGTCCTCCGCCGGTGCCGCAGCGTCGGCTCCACATGGTCCCGCTTCACTCTCCGCTTGGCCTTCTGCTGCTCCACAAATGTCACCTGATAAAGAGAGAGAAAACACAGGGTCGCATCAGTCGAACGTATAAATAGCAGCATATTCTGCTGCTCCACAAACGTCACCTGATGAAGAGGGAAGCACGGGGTCATACGGAGTGAACATACGGCATACCGAGTGAACAGATCGTCTCATATGTCATTCGGCGAGGCGAGTCAACACACGGTCATTCCAAGTGAGCGAACACACCACCGAACACGTAGCATTCTCCTCAGCTGCTGCACAATACAGACAAAGACCATCGGACATTCATACAGGACAACGCGAAATAACAACACGACAGACCTGACGCTTCCTCTCAATGACTCCCCTAATGATTGCTCTCATCCGTTAGTTTGCAAAGGTGTAATGACAACGCAATCGACTTCCATGCAGCAGAAAAAAAAACGATGACGGCATGTCCGTAACAGTCATCAATTACTAGAGGTGGCAAAAGATGAAAATTTTGGGAACCAGACTCGAACCAGACCCGGCTGGACATTTCTGGAACCAGTCGGACCCGGTCTTAGTTGGAACCGGAACCAGTTGGACCCGTTCCCCAAAAGTCAATTAATACAAACTACTTGTAGGTATCCTTAGGTGTAATATTATAAAACAGCCTATTTCCCACTGGGAATACTCATGAGCTACTGTGTGCAAAGAAACATTCACTTCATATTTTGCAATAATGTGTAGTGTGCAAGATGTAATGTATAGTTTATGGTAGGACCCGGTTGGACCCGTCAGAAAATTTCCAGGAACCGGTCTAGACCCATATGGGTCCAGACTGGTTCTTTGGACCGGGTCCTCGGGTCCACATTTTGCCACCTCTATCAATTACCATGAGCGGCGTATGATAAATACACAGCAAAACGGCTCATCACGCCTCCAGCTAACCACACCATCAGCTCAGTGGTTAGGTTACATCAGCACTTGGTCGCTGTCGACTTGTTCCGGCAGTGAGGCCCCGCTTCTCGGCCTGGTATGACCTACACCACACTATCGTCCAAACGACTGGGGAGGGCGAGGGAGCGTATTCGTGACCAGAATCGTAAGCACCCCAGAATCAGGCGCAAACATAGCCGGCCAGCATTTCCTCCAGCGCAATCTTGCGGCCTCGCAAAACATTATGACCGATGTAAACATGATAGCAGTGGGATCAGTCGAGTTCCACGCTGCTACACCACCCCAAAACATATTGAGCGCAATGCACCATATTTACTGGCTTAGCATAGGACTGCTTTTGCAAGACCACGTGAGTGCACCACTCACAAACCCGGTCAGCTTTGCCCATCATCTCTGGATGACGTCCACGGTGACGCGGCTCGCGCCTCCTAATGATCCCCGACAGCACAGTTCGTTGGAGAGCAAGTCCGGCCAGCAGCACAAATCGCCGGAGGGCAACTCCAAGAACTGTCGACTGAATGGCCAGTCAGCCGAACTGCGCGGCCCGACTGACCCAACAATATACCGAGTACAGAGAAACGACTGAGGCCCGCTGCTGCCACCAAGGAGTAGCCAGAACTGGCCCAACACTATCCAACGGACTATAACATCTCGAGCGAACAGACGAGTAGCTGGAACTATTCTGAACTTGTTTCAGGCCCGAGAATAAAACTGTCGTCAGTTCGTTGATTGAATGAGTGGCCTGAACTAACCGGGTAACTAGCTGGTCAGTGGTCCGATGCCGCTTGCACGTACTCCGAAATTTACCGGACGAGAGTAAGTACAACTAGCTGGAGCTGACGGGTTATGAGTTAACCAGAAGAACTAAGCAGCTCAAAATAAAAGGTAAATGAATGGTCTGCGCAAGATAAACTCTCAAGAGTCAGGAAATTACGTTGCCGAATGAAGACTTTCCAAGCTTGAAGAGAGCAACGCAAGTTTTTCTATCAATGGAGCCGCTGTCAGCAATGGACTGCTCCCTCCCCACCACATTTATTTTGCAACAAAGGGTTCGCCTTCCACAGTTTCATCAACATCCACAAAGAAACCCATCCGTTGTCTAAAGATCGATCGGACGTTCCCATTGATTGAACGTCTCGGGAATGTAGTGGAAGGCCGATAGTGAGAACGGTCCCAAAAGGATAGTCCCTTTCTGCGCTCCTTGTTCCACTTAGGTACTTACCGAATGAAGACTCCCTGGACTGCAAGCCAGGAATCATTTTATCCTGGAACTACGACAACAGGAATAATTCCTCCTGAAGATTCTGAAGAGGAACCCACACTCTAACCAGCATAGCGAATTGACGCCTCTTCTGGATCACTGGCGCATTATTCCTCAGCACCACCGTTCCACCACTCACCAAAACAGAAGCATCAAAGAATGGGGAAACAGTTAAATACCAGACGCAATGCCTAGACGCAATGCCCCATCCGGAAACGGTCCCAACGCAGGCACAGCGGGACGGTCAGCGGGGACGGCCGACGCAGTCAGCAGGCACTGATAACGGGTTCATTCAGTCAGGCGCGGCGGTACCGTCGCCGATCGACCCGCGACGGTGCGGGGCCGATGACCCGCAGACGATCCCGGGCGAGCCGGGTAGCCGTCCGACCCACCGCCCCGAGTCTTCGGACCGAGCGGGACAGAAGATCGGCCGGTCCAGCACAAACTGAGCGCCGCCTCGAGCTCGATCACTGTATAGGAAATAAGCTGAGCCGACGCCGGATGCTGTTCGTTGTAGACCGGATGGATGTCATCAGAAAGCCCTGATCGAGGGCGCTTGCCACCGCGCGAACTCAAAAACACTCGAGATCTGTGAGAAACGGCGCCACGCGCCAGGGTGACTGCGCACTGTGTTATCAAACGTCCCCCCCCTTCTTGTGACACACCTGGCGAGTGGGCGGAGGTCGTCGGGACTCTCTGGGGAACCTCGGGGCGGCCTGCCGGCTCCGGCCGCTCCGATAGCACTGCTGACCGATGACCGATCACAACCTCATCGGTCCATCTCCGACGACCGTTTGGCGGTGCGGAGGCCCGGCACGGCTCCATCACTCTGTCCATCTGTGACTGTTTCAGCCAACCGGCGGCGCGGCAACCACCCGCTTCCGCCCTCCGCGACGGGCGGCGGCCGGGGTCAACCAAGGTCACCGGCGCCCGGGGGCGTCCACCTCGTGCTGTGACGTCACAAGGCGGCGCACACGCGCTCCGAGTCAACGATAAACTGGCGCCCGTGTGTGCGTCAATAAACGCCGCCGACTGCACGCAGCGCGCCAGATGTGTCCTCAGCGCCGCCGGAGCTGAAACTGCTCGGCAACACACGCAATACAACGGCCCCAGGGGCAACCGAGCAACAAAGGGCAGAGTTGGATCGGTTGGCGACAGCATCCCAGAGGAACGGAGAAAGTGGATGAACAACGCTGTAAATTGATAAAGTGGTGGTTCAGTTGCGTTAAATGGCTACTGGAATTTGGGATGTTCGTTCTTCAATAAGCAAACCATGCAAAGGGGTCAGCCTATCAACCAAACCTCACGAAAACCAGCGTCGGTAGCTCACGCGAAGTAGTGTAAGCATACCGTATTGGCTGTTATATCGGAAACGTTTTGCATGCTGCTACCCTAAAAAATAGACATTCGTGAGGAATCTCAGGCACGTAATTGGCCTCTGACTTCAGAAGGCTGTTCATGCCGCACTGCTGCTGACACGTAGGAACAATCTGAATCGACTATACATAGTGTGGCTGGGAGGAATGAGGAAAGGGGAGACTACCAGTGACGCACTAAGATGACCGATCGAATTTAACTCAACAGCAAATTCAATGCGGTGCAAGATAGGTACCCGTATCTACCTACCCAGAAGCCTAAGGCATTGCCAAAGCCAGTACCAATCATTCTCCAGTGTGGACACGTTATAAGGCCATCTCAAAATATCCAGCCATCGTCAATCTGATGGGAATCGAATCCAATAGCCTTTCAGCCGAAGCCTGGGCACGTGTGGCGATCAAAGTAACGCCGGCGGCCGGGCGGAAAGCGCCGGGCCGCTTATTTTCGCCCACGGTAAGCCCGTTGGATCTATTTTGAGCAGTTCAAATACAGCAGCCTAGCGGCGCCAATATGTGGCCTCCGTCATATGCCGTCACTGCAAGACACGGCTCAGTCTGCCTCCGCAGCGGAGGCGCGGACGACATAGCTTTTCACCAGGCTGGGAAACGCACCGACGTGTTTGCATTTGATTCGCCAGCGGCAAAATGGCAAAAACACACGCTTGTTATTCCGAGAAAATGCAGCGCACAACAGCAAATACGACGGAGCTGTAGCATTCGAGCTCATTAAGCCGACATAAAACTACTCCATCTCCTTCGGAGAAATGCCTACAAAATGTTGTTGGCTTACTGGAGAAGCATACTCCACTTCCCGGATGAGTCCCTCATTTCAGAGATGTCGCCATAGCAGTGGCAGGATGTGCCTTCTGTTGTATTGTGGTGGAGTGGACTCAAACCAGCCGGAGCCCTATGGCGAAAGTGAGTCGTTATGACTGCATTACGGGATAGAACGGTGCACCAGCTCCAGTGCTAGCTGCAATAGAAGTCACGTAAGCGGAATACTCCAGCAAACATTCTCCCGGAAAAGGGTGCATGGACGACACTGCAGTGGTGCGTGCGGCGCGCGGACAAAGGCCGGGCTGCCTTTGGAGCAGCCGCCGATCGATTCAAACCAGAGCTCTTATACGGCTGAGTTCCACCGCATCTGCCTAGGTAAACAGCTTCTCCCTGGTGCTCAGACACGGCTGAGGACCAGCCTGCAGCTGGGCGACGCCGGGGCCGGCTGATGTTGGGTGGCGAGAAGAGACGAGACGAGACTCTGGCCCGGCCCGTCACGGGTCACGGAGCGCGCTGATCACAGTAGCAGCGACTGACGAAAACCGTCGGGCTTCATCCACAACCTGACGGGGCAAGGTAATCGTGGAACTGTATTTTAATACAGTTAGGAAGACCAGAAACAAGTCGTTTTTCTCACAGACAATGACAATACAAAAACAATGTAATAAGACCAGACGTTTCGACAACAAAGTGCCTTCGTCAGTGGAAAACCAGATATAGGCTTTACATCGATAACAAATATAGAAGACAACCAGCCTGCACGAAATTTCGTGCAGGCTGGTTGTCTTCTATATTTTTTATCGATGTAAAGCCTATATCTGGTTTTCCACTGACGAAGGCACTTTGTTGTCGAAACGTCTGGTCTTATTACATTGTTTTTGTATTGTAATTGTCTGTGAGAAAAAGGAAATGTCTGACTCTTCTAACCAGAAACAAGCTTCACCTGGCTCCAATCAGGACAAACATTCACAGTGGAGATGATTGGTTGAAAGTCCAAGCCATATCAAACCTGTAAACGTGGATCGTGAAGTGTTATGACAAGGTATCGCACACTTAGGCGTAAAAATGTGAGGCAGTACATAAAACATACACGTCTACACAAAGACCATAAATCAACTTACCTTATCTTCGCTTTTGAGCAAGGAATGATGTACAGGACTAGATGATAGCGATCGTTTTCTAACTTCATGATGCCGTAATAGGTAACAGTCGCCTATAATCTGAAACAGACAGAGAAGCACGTCAGTCGGATCAAAACACACTTCTACTCGCAGGATTGGATGTGTCATAGCCTACCGTCGTGACGTCTCCGCCCACCAGTAAAATAACGCGCGAGTCTGGGCGCTAACAAGACACGAGAGAGCAATACGGCGCCTAACCAGATGTCAGACGCCAAACGAATGACAAGCCAGACGCGTCCAGCAGCCGGCCGGTCCAGCTCATTGCATGTCCGTCTCAACCAATTGGTGCAATACTTCCTGGTGCAGCTAGTGACAACGTGCCAGACAACTGTGAGCAGCAAGCTGGCGTTGCAACTAAGCGACTGACAAAAAGACGAGTAGGCAGCAGGCACCAGTGGCACCACAACCAGGCACCAACTGCATAAGGTAACATGGCATCGGTAACAAATATCAACTCCCAATACAGCATGTTACCGGCGGATCATGGATACACCCCAGCATTATTAAAGAAAACTTCCGCGCTGTGAGTTGCGACAAATAATAAAAAGAGAACATTGAATTCATGGCATTTTGCCCACATCACTCAAATATCAGACACATTGGCAAACAATGTTCTTGACGTAGAGTGTATGATGATAGTGAGTACACGGACGTAACCAAGCATGAGTCCTTGAAGCTTCCGCCGTCTACGACGTCAAAGCAGATACCTAAGTAGTTGTATCTTATCTGCATTCCTCACTCATCGCTGGTAGCCAAGGGCTGATAGTACCAACATCGCCCTAACGATGCATTGGTGGCTCTGGGCTCAGTCGGCCCCTCCTTGGCCCTCTTTCCCGGGCGGTGTGATCGCCTGGGAGCATAAGCTCTGCGCCGCAGTCCCAACACGAGCTCATCCAATCAGCGGGGAGCGGACAACAGAGGAGCTACTGGCAGTGATGATGACGGATAGGCCAGGATCTGATACGAATATACCTACTCCCTCGAGGAGCCACCGGGACCACTACCCTCCCACACGCTGACCTCAGGACATAGCGGGCAGCCGGCGGAAATTTCGGGATGTTTGGGGCATGAAGTGAACACTGAACAGTGAACAGCAAACTCGGTAAAAATTCAGTGTCCTTCGGGTCATGTGTGTTCAGGTAAGCGGCGTGACGACGGCCTTGTCATGAAGTGCCTGCTTTTTGGCAAGCTAAATAACTTTGGGCAGAAGGCAGCGGACTGAGGATATGTTCAGACAAGGAATAATAGCACCGATGCGACCGGAGCTCGTCCAACGGCACATGCTACCCTCGGGGACGGGAGGGAAGACAAGTGATGCATACTCGGCCCCGCTGTCGCCGCGAGTTGGGGAGAATAATGAGCCAGGCCAAACTCCGCTCAACAAACCGGCCAGACTGCATAAATTGACTCCCGATGAATAATGCAGGGCACGCCACTTCTGACCCGATTATGGAAATAATTAAGATTTCATTAGATAAACTTTGGAGTATAGCACATCATGCATATCATTGAATAACATGTGCTGGAGACATTATTATAATTTTGAATAGTCCCGTGATGAAGTAACTGTCGATCGTCTAACTATTTTTAATGTGGATTAGCATAAGAGACATGATATCCAAGGGTGAAACCACTGGTCAAACCAAATTGAAAAAAGACAGGAATTCAGTCTACTTAATTGCTATCCCTCTCGACCGGGAAACTTACAGTCCGGTAACCACCGGAATGTGTGAGGGTGCCTCCTCGTGCCGCCGAGCGCCCGATATAGAGGGGAAGCATACCGCGCCATAACGGACGTCCCGTGCCGACATACCACGGCCGTCCGCCCAGCGCGCGGGAGATCTGTCCAAGGACGGTGTGCCAGGGAGGGCGGTACGGAGTCGGAGTCGGGCAATAGGCTCAGCGCGCTGTCCGTGTAGAGTCGCGTTCCCTCGGAACGCAAGGTTCATGCTGTCAAACCGGAAAACGAAACAAGCGTCTCTAGAGCCTTATTCAAGTGAAGAGAACATCTGGGTCATTTTGGCGAGAGGTCGTTTTTCAAGATTATTTCCAGTTCCACGAGAGTAGAATATGTCTCATAATTGGTATAAGATGGCGTGCCTTACATAACAATCTCAATGGAATTTTGGCTTTTGCAAAGCCGGGAAGAGACGCGTAGTTTCATTGCACAATGCAGAACCGCACAAGCGGAAGGTTGAAATCATTCCGGCCTCGGCGACACTAAGAAGTCGCGGACTGTTCATGTGATTGACGTCAATAAAACACACATCCGGCGAATCAGAAACCCCTGTTTCGACCTACATCCGTCCCTGATCGCGGTCTCTACGTCACTGGACCGCGGCCTCTACGTCACTGGGTCGCGGCCGCCGCTGAGGTCGAACCAAGGTGACGCGATCGCGGGGGCGTCGTGTTGACTGTTTCCGGGACAAACACAGACGAACCCATTCAGAGGCCATCAACAGCGCCGAGCCGCGCCAAGCCATCGGCTCAATACGCCCCCGGCAGACGGCGCGACACCATCCATCACCCAACTGACGTCACTGGAGTCCGCAAATCCAGCAGACGTGACGTCACTGGTTCACTGGGGTCAACAGAGTCTCAAAGGGCTATATATCGGGTGGGATGTGTCCCGAAAACGACGAGCGGCAGTTGATGCCAGGGGAAGGTGAGCCATCTCTTGAGGAAATAACATCGGCCTTGACCGACTGATGCACGCACAGTCGCGGGGCACCGCAGCCTTGGGACCGTCAGCTGGGCTGCTGTGACGTCACTGGCCAGCCCACTGTATGACGTCACTGGCAGGACAGCCGAGTCACGATAACCGTCCAGTTTTGGGCCGCTGGGCGGGTCCGTAATAGCGACTGACTGGCGCGATACTGTGCTTTATGGCGCGATGGAACGCAACGATCGATGAGTTGGGAAAAATAGTGGCAACTGGCAGTGTCCTATTTTGTCTGCAGGCAATGTTTTGATATCTAACAGAAGGTTACTTACGTCACAGACGGTATTGAAACAAAGTCAAATGTCAGGCCAAGTCAAATGGAATGGACACCGTTATGAGGCACCTGGTGGCGGATTGCCACTCACAAACCATTGTTAATGATAACAGAAGCATATGATAATACAAGAGGCATCTGCAGAAGCATCTGAGGGACGATATTTTCGTGGTCTACCGTCTATTAACACGTCATTCATTTTAGATTCCCAGAGAGCAATGAACCCAATACGCCAGGTGATAGAACTTCAAGCAGTTATGCATGGCTGAGGGCTGAGTCCATGCAAATAAACAACATTTGATCTGATGAGGTGCTTTTGAGTAGAGAAACAAGATGACTCATAATCAAGGTTTACACGACCCCTCATTAGCCATAATACTCCACCAAAACAAACACCATCAAACAAACATGCACCACTGCTTAGCCAATCTGTTTGACTGTCACTAAATCAGCGCTAATAAATGCAACGCACGGCTTCACCAACCGACGGCGTCTTCCAGTGACGCCTGGCAGAGGCCGGTGCTCGGCGTGGTCCGACGGCACCGCACGGGGGCCGGCGACGGCCCGGGCTGTTTTTTGGGGCGGCGCGGTGTCCGTGTGCCAGGGCCAAGGTCACGGCGGCACGCAGCCCGCTCCCACCGCGCGGTGAGGGGCTCACGGGCCGCCGTCCGCCGCGCCGCCATGGCCACGGCCGCAGCAAGGCCAGCCAAACGCGCGCGCCGAGGCGGGCCGACGGAGGCTGGGATGGGCGCTGCTCGGGGATCGAAAGTCCAGTAACTTCCGCTATGGACCGCAGTCCGGAGCAGGCCTTAGTTTAGGATCATTTATTTATTTAGCGTATCATCAACGGGTATGTGCAGCCTAACTATAGATGAAGTAACGAGATACGACCGTGGTGACATTAATTACAGATGTGCTGTCACCAGGCCCGTGTGAGGGGCATCCGACTCCTGTCAGCTCCTAATGGTGTTATGCATGCTCTCCACTTGAAATCCAATCCTAAATCAAATCAATGCAGCACTCTGCACGTCGTCCCACGCGCGCCGATCGCAATATCAATGACGCCCCCGGTTCACATCCGGCCAGAGTACGACTATTCTACGGACAGTCGGTCGTTGTACGGCACGACTGTTCGCGATCAGAGCCAGCATGAGGAGGCCGGTCAGACAGCACGGCATGACAGCTCGTAAGTCGTACGTAGCAGAGTTTCAAACATCTGCCGGCGTGGGTGACGACATGCCATCCTATGCTCACCCTCAGCACTGGAACCCACGCTCTCATGCTGGCGACAACTGACCCGGAGAGCATGACCGTCTCACCCATCTGCTGAGACCAGCACTGGCCCTGACTGAGGCCCTGAACGGAGGTGGGCCATCGCGCTGAGCTGGTGCCCACCGCAGCTGTTTGGAGATGTTGGGCCCCGACACCTTGACCCTGGGGTCGGGTCTCTGCGCATATCAAGTCGGCCGTCAAACACGCAGTGCCACCACCGCATCCAGGCTACCACGAGCCATTCCCGTCGATCATCAAAGGAATCTAGCGACGCCACCAACCTGGTTAACCGTCTTGTCACAGTCAGATCACGAAACTCGGCGGTGGCTGTGAGAGCCAGGACGAGCGACACCGGGTCCCGTCCACAATCCACACCCAGTATCAGTATGTTGGAAGTAGCCCGGAGGGAGAAGCAGAGACGAACGGAGACGAGTGGCGACCGAATGAGATGACGCCAATGGGATGCCACCCAAGCTCCGCGTCCCGACAGACACAGAACATATTGAGCTCAGTGGGCCGCTACATAGCCGTGTAGATTGCAATGGCAGCAAGCCAGGCGCACGACATTAATGAAGACAGAAAGTGGGCAGATAAATCAAGGGAAGCGCTCAGGCGCACACAGAAGTAACAATAAATCACATCGCAAACGGTCGCAGCCGGAGACGGGGCGAACATAATGGAAACATTGATAACGGATGAGTGTCATCAGAGACGATATACGCACCAATTCGGCGGACATCACCGGTAAGCTCGAGCTTGATTTCCGATAAT